AAGACGTGGCCACCAAAGCCAAGTTCTTGCGCCAAATGATTATTCTGTTGCAGAACTCGTTCAACAGTATTGTCAAGTGCTCTAAACCGGTCATTACGTCCATTCACGGCGGTTGCGTCGGCGCCGGTCTCGACCTGATCTCCGCCGCAGACATCCGGTACTGTTCTAACGACGCGTTCTTCTCGCTCCGGGAAGTGGCCATTGGAATGGCCGCCGACTTGGGATCACTTCAGCGGTTCCCCAAAATTGTCGGCAACGATAGTCTGGTCCGAGAGATGGCTTTCACGGGCAGGAATATTACCTCCTCTGAAGCCAAAGAGGTGTGTAATCATAACCAATAGTTTTTTGCATTTTTATCGAGATTAAATGGATTTATAATTAATTATATGGTTTTGTTTTCATGGGAACAGTTGGGTCTCGTGAGCTCCGTATTCTCTGAGCCGAAGGAATCGTTGGACGCGGCCATCGAGACGGCGAAGAAGATCGCCGCCCACTCGCCGGTCGCAGTTCAGGGCACAAAGATATCGTTGAACTATTCCCGAAACCACTCGGATAGGGATGGCCTGGAGTTTATGGCCAACTGGAATATGTGTATGTTTCAAAGCCAGGACCTCATCACCGCATCCACGGCCACCGCCACCAGATCTGAGACACCGCCGACTTTTAATGACTTGTAGTTCAATGAGAATTCAGATGCAAAACACTCATTGAATTTGATGTGTTTTGAGTTTTTGATATTTGTATTTATTTTGTGTAAAGTTTTTAAAAAATAATTAATGATTGTCTCGATTATGAATGAATTATTCCTCTCATTGTATGTATTATTATTGAAATATTGATTATTTGATTTTCTAATTCCTTTCCCTCTATTTTGTATTAATATTATTAAAATGATTGCAATAATCATATGATTGTCATATTTTTCTGAAGTTAATATTTTGTTATTAAAAATGTTTTAAAAATGAAAATTTTGTTAAAATACAATTGAATAAAAAGTATAAAACAACTAAAATGTTGAGAAATTGTTAATAACAATGCATACCATTAGCCAAAAAACTTTAATACTGTACTAACTTTAAAATCTAGTTAAATCAAGTTTACAAACTGGTAGATATAATTTAAATAAAATCCAGTCTAAACCAACTTATTAAATTATAGATTAAATTAAATTGGTGATCAAAGTCTATGCAAAAACCCTATTATAGCATAAAATACTTATCAAGTGGGAAAATTCAATGCATGCATATTGTCAGGAAAAACTAATTAGTGTAATTAAACACTATTTACTGTAAACTCTAATTACAGTTAATGAC